TCTTCAAGCGCGCTCTGCAATTTGACCATCTTGAAGAGTCCAAGGCACACTGCAAAGACATGCACCTAAGTTCAAAATATCAATGGTGTTTGCCTTGCAAGTGTCCTTTAAACACCATGACCAATGGTAAAGAGTCAAATAAAACTTTTCCTGGCAACTTCATATTGAAAACTTTTTTACTTGAATATGTAGCCCAGCTTCAATCTGCAAAGCCACCTGCAAGGCATCTGCAAAGCCACCCCAGTTCTGGAAGTGAGATGAAAGGAGCTGGAAGTGGCCAATGCCTTTGCTGCTTTCAATGGTTCTTGAAACAAAGAACCAGCTCTTTCAATGGTGCCAAAGAATCTTCAAAAACAGGTTTGCCAAATAATTCCAAGCTGCCAACTCCAACCAGCCAAGCTGTAAGGATCACTGCAAGGTGGCCTAGAAGCCACCCAAGCATCTCCAAGGCAGCCTGGAAGCCCTCAAAGATCTTCACCAAGAAGCTGCTCAAAGCCATGGCCTGAACAAGCTCCCCAAATGAATCTAAAAAGGAAACCTTCAAAAAAGAAACCTTTGGACCATTGGAAACACCAAAGATTTGTAGTCTAGTGTCATTCAAGGTGCTGCAAATCCCAGGCTGAAAGTCACGCGCTGCAAGGCCCACTTGAAAAGCTGAAAGCTGCTGTTTCTGCAAGCTTCAACTGAATGCTGCAAGCTGCAACCCCCTCCAAACCCATTCTTCAAGCTGCAAGCCCTTGCAAAACAGACTTCAACTGAATGCTGCAAGTTGCAACTCCCTCAAAAAGAAACTTCAAAGTGCACCCTTGCAAAGCCCTTCAAACTGCAAGCTCTCTACCAAGCCATTCTTCAAGCTGCAAAACTCTGCAAAACATCCTGCTGAACCTAAAACCTTTTTGGACACCCAAGCTCAAACTAAGGGTGCGCTTCAAGCTTTCTTCAAGCTTTCTGCAATCTAGAAATGACACCCCTCCAAGCTTTCTTCAACTCTTCTTCAATCTTTCTTTGAAGCCTTTTCTTCCTTCTTAAAAGGATTTGCCTTCAACATCTCCACCACTGTGTTTCCTGCAAGCAAGTGAGGGGGGGGTTGAAGCTGGAAGGCAAGGCTCAAAGGCTTCAATATTCCAGATTCTAAAGTGCTACAACTCATTGAACATTTCTCAACCCACCCTTCCAATGCTGTTGCTGCTGTTGCTGTTGCTGCTTCAGATGTCCATTGAAATTTTGGAGATTTCCATTGAGATTGGATGCCTTTTGATGGAGATTTCCATTAAACATTTGAAGATTTCCATTGAGATTTGATGCTTTTGGAGGCTTTTGGATGGAGAT